AGCGCCACCCGCCGGCTCGCTCTGGGCCTTTTTTTCGGTGCTGGAGAGGAGCGGCATGAGGCCTGCCACCGAGAGGCAGCGCCGCAACCTTCTGGCGGACGTCACCCAGTTCTGCCTGTCGCAAGGGTTGACCTGGACCGACCTCCCGGGCTCGGGCACGGCGCTCGCGGAGTACCGGAACTACCTGCACCTCGAGGGCCGCCCGGGCGCCGACGACGGCCGCCCGTTGGCAGCTGTCTCGCATTTCTACCCCTCGGTCGGCAAGCAGGTAAAGGCGCAGCTGCCTCAGGCGAGCCGCTGCGCCCAGGCTTGGGCTCGCCGAGCCCCGGGCCACCAACGGCTGCCGCCCCCCCGCGCCGCCGCGCGGGCCGGCGCCGGCCTGCTGCGGCGCGAGGGCCGCGTCCGCATGAGCGTTTGGATGCGCCTCGCCTTCACGCGCTACCCGAGGCCGATAGAGCGCTTCCGTCTCCGCTACGCCAAGGAGGCCAGAGCGCTGACCCAGCTGAACCAGGCGCTACAGCACACGCTGATCTTCGGGGAACTGGTGGATCGCAACTTCGCCATATTTGTCGAGAGGGGGCTGGCCGGCTGCGGGCTGCGGCCCCCGGCCCCGACCGACCTGCGGCGCCTCTTGCGGCCCGCCTGCGCGGCCCCCCGCCGAAGGCAAGTCCGAGCGAAATTGAGCGCCGTCTCAATTGAGTTGTTCACCGCACTGCCGAGCGCGGCAAGGACTTTCGCCGTTGCGTGTGTTTCGAGCTTTTCTGTGGCAGTTGTGCTCTCACTCGACAACTTGGGGAGCGAGGGCGCACGGCCTCGGCCTTGATATTGCCCAGCACACCGCCGAGAATCATCTGTCTCCTGTGATTGTGCGCCGTGTGCGGGGCTGGGTCCTAACAGGGGCCGCGCGCTCGGTCTGGCCAGCGATGCCCCGCACCGCGCTCTCAGCTGCCAGCCGCCCACCTTTCCGTTATTCCCCCTAGGTCTGCCTGGCTTCTCAGAGAAGGATGCGGCGGCGGTTCATATTGGAAACGAGTTGCTTGACGTCAGTTTGAAAACCAGTTGCTTGACTTCACTTTGACTGGCATTCGCTGTGCATCCAGCGCAATTGCCCCGTCGCCATTGAGAACCCACATACTTTTGTTCCGTGGCAAGTGCCAGGTCTTAAGAAATTGCTCTCACATGATTCTTGCCGCGAGATAGTACTAGACTGCTGCCAGCACGGTATGCCCTGGCGTTTGGCCTCTGCTGTCGACCATGCTCGCGCTTCTGTTATGCGCGATCGATTACAAGTGGGATGCGGCCTGGCGGCCAGTTCTCTCCTGCGGGTGTGGGCATGCTCTCACCGAATCGCTGACAGTATTTTGCTCCTCGTCGCCGGCTGGGCGGCCTCTGCCTCCTGCCTCACGCTTCCTCGCACTGAAGGACAACAGTTGGCGCCCTCTAAGCCTCAGGCTCTTTGGGGGATTCCACGCGCCTTCAGCTGGGGCCGGCGGAGATTGGTTGACTTCAGCAAGCTAGGAGTCTTCAGGGCGCGGTGCTTGCATTGTCTGTTCTCTGCCGTACTTTTACGGCTCAAGTTATTATCTTATTATTTTCCTTTTCCTTCTCCTTTTCTATTCCTGCGTGGCTGGGCATGCTTTTCATCAATCGCTGACAGCACTCTGCTCCTTGTCGCTGGCTGGGCGGCCTCTGCCTCCTGCCTCACGCTTCCTCGCACTGAAGGACAAAAGACGCCGCCCTTTCAGCCTCAGGCTCTTTGGGAGACTCCACGCGCCTTCAGTTGGGCCCGACAGAACATGGTTGACTTCAGCAAACGAATTATCGTTAGACAGGAGAGTTTAACGACAATCCTCCTTGCAGAACCTCACTTCAGCTTCGCGCGCAGGGACAGTGAATGACCGTTCGGCCCCCTCGCTCTGATTTTGGGGGGATGGGGGGGTATCACAGGTCCAGTCGCTCTCGCGCGTGCCTCCCATGCAGGCCAGCTTTCCACGGGTTCGACAAGTTCACCGCTCACCCCAGACCAACTTCCCGCCCTTGCTGGACAAAGGGGGAGGGCTGGTTCGACCCCCGCCCCCCTTTTTGAGGCCCTCCCCCCCTCACCGATTTGAGAGGCATCCCACCTTTGGTTCAGACGTGTCCAGCGATTTGCTCCAAGCAAGCGTCCACGAAACGTGTTTTCGTCACGTCGGCACACCCCGCACGCGCGTCGCGGCCCCACGGGGATGTCTACCTAAAGCGCCAGTGCGCGCGGCCACATGCAGCACAATGCATGTACATGTTGAGACACCCCGCGCACGCTTCGTAACCCCATAGAGGGCGCCACCGAAGGCCCCAGTAGGTGCGGCCACATGCGGTTCCTCGCCCACCGCGTGTCCATCTTGGCCCCGGTGGGTGCGGCCACTTGCGGCTCTCCGCCCATCGCGTGTCCATCTTTGGAGATCCCATCTCGTGCTTGGTGGTGGCCCGATAGGGAGCTCCACCTAAGGCCTCCGCGGGTGCGGCCACATGCGGCCCCCCGCCCACCCCATGTCCATGTCGGCAGGCAGTCCTCACAAGTGTCGTGTCCCCACAAGAGGGGCCCACCGAATTAGAGCCCCAACGGGAGCGGCCACATGCGGTGCACCGTTTACCACATGTTTGTTTATGTCGAAAAGAGCGCGTTCTGGGGTCGCTTGGGGGGGTGGAGGGGTTTGGAACCAGACCCCCCCCTTCTCCTGGCGGCGGCGGCGGATGGCGGCGGCGGCGGTTGGCGGCGGCGGCTTTCTTGGCCGGCGCCAGCGCCTGCGGCTGCGGGCGGCGGCGGCGGGGAGCGTCGACGAGGACGACGGTGGTGGTGGTGGTGGTGGTGGTGGTGGTGGTGGTGGTGGTGGTGGTGGTGGTGGTGGTGGTGGTGGTGGTGGTGGGTGGTGGTGGTGGTGGTGGTGGTGGTGGTGGTGGTGGTGGTGGTGGTGGTGGTGGTGGTGGTGGTGGTGGTGGTGGTGGTGGTGGTGTGGTGGTGCGTGCGGTGGTTTGTTGTGGTGGTGGTGGTGGTGGTGGTGGTGGTGGTGGTGGTGGTGGTGGTGGTGATAGTGGTGATAGTGGTGATAGTGGTGGTAGTGGTGGTGGTGGTGGTGGTGGTAGTGGTGGTACTCGTCGCTGCGTCCCCGCCGTCGCCGGCGCCACCGCTGGCGTTGCTGGCCCCGCCATTGCCGGCGCCGGCAGAGGGGGGGAAGGGGTTGGTCACCGTCGCTGCGTCCCCGCCGTCGGCGTTGCTGGCGGCCACCAGCGCCGGAGCCGGCGCGAGCGGGGGGGGGTTGAGAGGGGAAGGGGGGGGGTCGGAAGGGTCGGGCTTGGGGGGGAGGGGGCTCCCCCTGGTTTTGATCGACGGCACCGAGTGTTGGGGGGGGGCCACCCTCCGGTTCGAAACGCGCCGCCGAATGTTCCCAACGCAAGCGCCCGTGAAACGCGCTCTCTCCCATGTCGACATGCCCCTCACACGTGTCGTGGCACCATAGGGAGCTCCACCTAAGGCTCCAGCGGGCGCAGCCACATGCGGCTCCTCTTCCATGTCGGCGCACCTCCCAATCGCTTGCTGGCCCCCTATGGAGTTCCACAGAAGGCGGGATTCACAACTACGGCACTCACAGCTGCATATCGTTGGGCTTTTTAGCCTGGATAACTGTAATGCCGTTTCTGCAGGAAGACGGCCAAGCAGGATCCCCGCCATCTCACACCCCGCTGCGTGGGGACATCGCGCAAGGACCAAGAGAACCTCGCGATGTTCGACCGTGGTGAATTCCCCATTGTTCGCGACGCGTACCACGCTGACGTTGCAGCGCTCTCTCTTGGAGCGCTTCGCCAGTGTGTTGAGGGAGCGAGCAGCGGCCTGCCCCCATAGGTGACTACCTGGCCCATTGTGCCCTGAACGCGGTTCAGGCGGTAACCTAATCGATGTCGCTGCATGAGGAAGCGGCCCCAACGCCCGAAGATGCAGCTGCTTGCGCCCAGGGAGTCTTCCAGTGCCGACAGGAGGAGAAGGAGGAGGAGGAGGAGGAGGAGGAGGTGGCCTGTCTCGTTGCGGCTGTTGCTTCCCTTCGCACGCTGGAGGACGGGGCCGTTGAACCCCCCCCACACACACACACACCTCTCAGGGCCAGGGGTACCGTTGCCCAGCTCTTCCCAAGGGGGTTCTGGCGACAGCGACTATGGAGAGCACGCGAGCTGGTTTGAGGACAGCTCACCGTGCATGGGGTACGCTGAGGTCCGTTCGCGTGCTCTGACCTGCGCAGCCTGGTGCGCCGTCTGACACGTCCTGACACCTCTCCTCCTCCTCCTCTCTTCCCTCCTCCCCTGAGTCACTTTAGTGCGACCCGCGGAACCGCGGAGAGAGCGCGCTTTTAGGCTTCGCCCTGCAGGGAGATGCGCGGAATTAGGCGACCTATGGTCACCAGACAGGGCCCAGTTCGATCCGACCGATCTGGTTCGACGTCGATTTCGGCAGGTTCGACTCTATTATGTTCCGATGTTCTGGCGATCCGGTACGGCCTCGATGTTTGCATGGCGGTGTTGTGCATTTTGGCTCGGCCGATAAGATCCGATTCGATCCGCGGCGGTGTTGCATCTTGGTGCGGCAAGATCCGACGCACATGCCGATCCGATCCGATTTCCCGATCGATGTTGATTGATCGTGCTAGGAGAAGGAGGGGTAGACAGAGCGAGCGAGCGGTCACCTGTCTGGCCTTGGTCTGGTGACAGAACAACCGGCGTGCCACACGTATTGGCTTCAAGGAGATCCAGCGTCGGCATGGCTGCCGAGATACTGTGAAGTGCGCTTGGCACTCGCCGTGAGGGAAAGGGGTCCTGAGGGAAACGGGTCCCGGACCCCAGGGCTCTCCCCAGGACTGGCAGGGCCCTTTCGACGGCAGCGGCGCGCGCTTTCCCGGGCAGCGCCTCGGCTTTCGGCCGCCGGGGGCGGCGGCCGAAAGCGGGGGCGCCCATCGCGCGCGGCGGCGGCCGAGGATTGGTGCCCGACCCGGATTGGGGCGCGCTGCTCCAGGCGGAGGCCTGGCGACGGGCCACGGGCCGCGCGGAGGGAGACGCGGGAGAGAGGTCAGGGGCAACGGTAGGTGAGGAGGTCGCCCGCCAGCACGCCAGCACTCCCGCCCCACGTAGTTTGGCTGATTCGACGCCCTGCCTCCCGCCCGCCAGCTGACTGATCGCCTGCAGCTTCAACGCGCTCGAGGGGGCAGACGCCCACGCTGGGTGCCAGGCAAGAGCTCGACGAGGGCGCCACGCCCCCTCGATTTGGCCCCGTGGTAGACCGAGGTGCGGCCCAGAAGGTCGAAATTGACAGACGGTGCGACTCGCGTTGCCTCCCCGGCCCCCTCCCCTCCGGGGGCAGCGTGCGGCGTGGAGGGGGGATAGGCTCACGGGGGGACGCATAGACTCCCAAACGCCCATTCATCACCGATGCGGGTCCGATGGCCCACCCCGCCCAGGACCGTGCGGTTGTGCCATCGGGTTCTCATCACCGATCAATCGGCTTGTTTCGCCGATTCCAGATCGATGTTCCCCCCACCCCCCCATGAGCCAGCCCCCCTGTCGTTCATCCCCCGGATGGAGGAGGGTGGGAAAGAGGAATGGAGGGAGGAAGGAGGAGACTGGCAAGAGTGGGCCTGCGTAGGGCCGCATGTGCCCATTGATCATCGCAAGTCCATGATCCATTTCTCTGCCACTCGGTTGGCCGATCAAGGTTTTCCGACGTTGTGTGAATTTATGGGGGTGGGCCGGGTTCCGCGCAGGGGAGACGAGTGCAGTCCAGCCAATCGTCCATCGATTGCCAACAGGGGCCAGATAGCCCATTCCGCCCAGAAGCGTGCAGTCTCGCTATCGGGAGCCCATCGCCGATCTTTGGGCGATGAATCGCCGATTCCTATTCGATGAGTTCCCCTGGAGCTGGCCCCGCCCCTATCGTTCCCCCTCACGTCGGGGTCCGCCGAGGCCTAAAAAGGACCTCCTGTGCCCACATTTTGGGAGGCTGGTGCTTCTCAGGAAACAATCCTATGGGCGTGCCTCTTCCCTCCCTCTCTCCTTTCAAAAAGCAGATTCAGAGGAAGAAGACGTAATGTCAAAGATGCATGCCAGAAATTCAAAGTATGCATCAGATGTCCCAGATATACTCATGTTCCACAGGCTGACGAAACGAGGCCCGCTAGATACTCCGGAATTCCTGGAACGTGTCTTGAGTCAATCGCATCATGGGTAATTACTAAATATTAGATCTGCCCTTGGACCTCTCCAGGGCTCCAGGGGAACGTTTTAGTTAGAATTCCAAGGGGAGTTCAGCCGCGGCGACGAGAAGGCAGACCCAAAAAAAATAACTTCAGGGGTCCGCAAAACTGGTAGCGAAGTCGAGCCATACCTTTATGCGTCATATAGTTGTGGAAACGAGGAGTGTTCCAGAAGCCCCCCACAACAACAAAATCTCACACAAGTCAGAGTGAGGAGGCCGAACGGTCATTATGTGTCCCTGGGTGCGTGGCTGCAGTGGAGTTCCGCGGCGCAGATTCTGCTTGTTTGTTGTCGTCGTCCCACCCGCGACCCACCCGCCGACCCACCTGCGACCCACCCCAATTGATATGACGAAAAAAGCAGCGCGTACGGCGAGCTCGTTGCGCAATGTGTTCAGGCATGCTTGACGCTTTGCGTATCCCCACCAGCTTTCAGCGGCGGTTGGCTGCGACCCTGGAGGCCCACGTGGTGTGTGTTGGTGGACGAACCCGAGTCTTGCGAGGAAGTGCGAAAGCTGCGGGCAGGGTCAGGACATGGCGTCCGTCGGCTCTCGTGTCTGCCCCAGCGCAGCTCCCCCCAGGTCGCCTCACCCAAATGGCAACGGTACACTTTGCTCGTACATGCGCCACGTGCCCCGGGAGGTACAGCCAGCTCTGTATACTTGTGGATATGCTTGTCCCTGGTTCAGTTTGGCGTACTTCAGGCGGCAGCACCACTACCAGTGCAGCACCCCCTAATTTCTCTACCCCGTTGGCGATGCTCACCACGCCGGCTGGTTTTCCCCCCTCACTCTGAGGCTTGACGCCGTGCCGCTACGCATTGCGTGGCTCACAGTCGTTCGGCTCCCCACTGCACTGTTGGGTGGACTGGCGGGTGTTGATATCTCCACGGAGTGGTTCAGCCTTCCGCAGCAGCTGCAGCACCCTAAGCTCACCATCAGCTATCAGCAAGTTGCGTTGCACTACGTTCCGCGACAGCTCAGCCCCCCTGGCTAGCACACGTCGTCTAGGGCGTTTGGAGCCTGGCGCCCCACCGGCGACTCGCTCCACGGGCTTCGCGCCTGCCCCCATTCAGAACGACGGACTCGGTTGTTCTGATTCACGTCTTGTTACTGTGTGGGCCGTGCCTATGGCAGGCATCGAATTCCTCGACATGTTGTCCTGTGCACGCGCTCGAGCTCCCAGGATGCCCCCCGCCGTCAGCCCCCTTTCAGCTTCGCGGCTGCTTTGTGAGTGGGCCGGCCGGCTCGTGCCTTCTGTAGCTAATTCGGCTCGCCCGTTTGCCTGGACTCCCTGCCCGCCGCCTGCCTCTTCGCTTGCGGCCGCGACCGAAAAAATATCCCCACCAGCCCACCCAAAGCCGATACCCAGGCGAGCTGAGAGGAGCAGGGGAGTTTAGGAGCAAAGAGGAGGACAGGGGGTATCGTTCGAGGAGGGAGGAGGAGAGTGGATGAGGAGGGAGAAGGATGTTGAATTTCCGGATGAGGAGGAGAAGGAGGAAGAGGAGGAGGACGAGCAGAAGGACCAGAGGCGTCTTGGATGCCTCTCGGCGTCTCCCAGGATATCTCTTGTGGTCTTGGTTTCTTGGAGCGTCTTGGGAGCGTTGTGCCGGTTCCGAACAACTCTAGGGTCGTCTTGAATACATATTGGAAGTTTCTCGGGACCTTTTTGGGGGGCCGCTTGGAGGCGTATTTGGGAGATTTGTTCGGGCCTCTTTGGGGCTCGTTGGGCTCTCGTTGTTGCCAGGTGTCAGAGGTCTCTTGGGGCCGCTTTGGCCCCTGTAGCTCAAAAGGAGGGGGATCCTCAATTCAGGTCCCCCCCATGGGAGGCTCAAACATGCTGTATTGGTGCCCTCTTGGGGCGATCTTGGGGCGGTCTTGGGCGCTCTTGGGGCCCTCTGGGAGCCCTCTGGGGCTCCTCTTGGGGCTCTCTTGGGGCCATCTTGGGGTCTCTGAGGCCAGTCGGAAGCGAAAAGACGAGAAGACAGAAAACAGTGATGTTCCTCAGGTTCGGGGGCCCTTAAAGCCGTCTTGGAGCCGTCTTGGGGCGTCTTGAAGGTATGTCGGAGGCTATCTTGAGCCATGATGAAGCATTTGTGGTCATCTTGGAGGCCATCCTGGGCCCTTTGAGGCCCTTTTGGCGCCATCCTGGGCCATCTTCGGGACGAACGCCTCGCGCCCCCCCCTCCCAGGCCCAGGTGAGGGGGTAGGGGGAGGGGCCAAGGCCCCCTCCCCGCCCGCAAGCCGTCCCGCTGACTCCCACCCGCCCTCCCAACACATACGTAGCACCCGAGTCTGGCCCGAGCCTCAGCATAGTCAGCAGTCGTCTTTGGATGAGCAGCTACTGGGGGCCAATCCGCCGCCGCCGCCGCCGCTGCCGCCGCCGCCACCGCCGCCGCCGCCGCCGCCGCCCCCCGCTGCCAAACCGCCGCCGCCCCCGCCCCCGCCCCCGCCCCCGCCCCCGCCGCAGCCGCCGCAGCCGCAGCCGCCGCTGCCGCCGCCACCGCCGCCGCAGCCGTCGCAGCCGCCGCCGCCGCCGCCAAGTGTACTCTGTATTGTTTTTTTGACAGGGATGGTGGTGGGGGCCGCATCGGGTTGGCTGCGCATGTTCCGAATTTGGAGGCAGAGTGTGTTTTGTAGTGTTTTTGTACAAGGGATGGTGGGGGGGGCATGGACCTTGGTTGGCCCCCAGTCGCCTGGGGGAAGGGGTGTTTATTAATAGCGAACAGTGGTAAACCCCTCCCCCGAGCAGGGGAAGGAAGGATGTTGACAGAGAGAAGACAAAACTCGTGAAACCTCTTACGTCCACGGGGTGGGATTGGCGCTTGCGGCGGGCTTCTTCAGAGCCCCGGTGACTGCCGACGACGCCGTCGCCCGCTCACTTTGATCCACAATTGAGGCGTGTTGCGTCTTCGCCGCTGCCGTCGTTGAGGTTTTCGGTGGCTTCTGGCGTTTCCAACAAGTGTTCGGAGGGTCTCGGATGGTTTCGGAGTTGCGACGTTTTTTCGGATGGTTCCATGGTCGCCGTCGTCGCGGTTCTTCGCATTCCTCCCTTGTGATTGTCGGACTCCGCCATAATGGTGCTTATCTAATGGTTTTCGTGCCTGGGCTCGCGGGCAGTAGCACCTACGGACGTCTTCCAGATTCCTAACCATCCCTCTCGTGCGGGTCGTGAAATTCGCCCCTCGTGGGTGCGTCATGTCGTCTGCATGGCGGAAGTAGTATCAAGGAAGTACGTTTCGAATATTTGTTTTTGCGTGGTTGCAGTGTTTCCAGGCAAGTGCCACGCAACTCGCATAGTGTACATGATTGGCGTGATATCCAGACGTCGCACATGGAAATGGCGCGGGCCGTTCTGGGGCTGTTTAGGGGGCGCTTGGGGTTTTCATGGGCTGCATCAGGGACACATCGTTAGGTTCTTGGGTCGTCTTGGAGGGTCCCCAGGATATCCTGGAGTTCGTTGGCTACCATTACAAACAATGAGTGCGTATCATGAGGGTTCCGCTTGGATTATGCGTCCGAGTCGCGCATCCGAGGCGTTCTGATCTGCGGCAATGAGAGGTGGGTCCGAAGTCGCGCGAATGACAGCGCGGCGCCGATCTCCGCTCAGCGGGCGGAAGTCGCTTGCACGGAGGAAGTGTCGCATTTTGTTTGCTGTCATTGGACCCGGAATCCGCGGTCTCCTGGGCCCGACCAAAGATGGCCCAGCCAGCTCTCGGCATCCCAACCGGCCTGCGCGCGCCCGACCTAAGCTTGAGCCGCCGTTCTCGGCG